ATCCGTCAACGTGCAGGGTCATAGTCTTCCGTCTGATCTTATTCGGGTCAAGACATACAGCGGAGTGCTGGTGGGGGGTCTACAGCAGGGTACAGGCTACTCACCAATGTGGCAAACGAAGCTAGCCATAGGCGTGTTAAGCGGGGTGATCGGCGTCGTCATCATCATCATCGGCGCTATTTTTTTGGTAAGGAAGCGGCAGGCCGATAAAGCTATCACTGGGCCGGTCACGTTCGAGAACCCTGGCTATGACAAACAGCCTGACACTACTGAAGGGGCGGAAGAAGCGACAGTGCACGGCATTCCCAATCAGCAACCAAGCACCACCAACTAACAGACATGCACCCTTCCACAATGGACGCGGATAAGGTTACTTCAATCGGAGAAAGCCGTTTACTAATAACCTTGGGTTTTTTTTATAGATGATTGATGATTTGATTTAGATATTTAGATAATTTTAGATATATATATTTTTTATGGTAGAATGTTAGCTGTTATACCACAGTAGAATTATTATGGCAAATTTTATATGCTGTCGAACAGTTATACTTTTATAGCAGTTTTATATACTGTAGTACGGCAAATATTCTACCAGATGAGCCTTGTATTTTTATAGCACATGTTAGATATTATACCACGGTTGAGATTTTTTATTGTAGAACCTTAAATATTATACGACAGTATAATATAATATTAGTATAATAACGATAGTATAAATATTTTACCCGATGAGCCTTATATTTTTATAGCACATGTTAAAGATTATACCACAGTTGAGATTTCTATTGTAGAACCTTAGATATTATACGACAGTCAATATTCTACATGGTGAATGAGGCACGTTGATTTTCTTGAATTCAAACTACCTTATTATCGATTATTTCACATTGTTATGTAAATGTGGGCCGTGTGCACGATTTTTACAAGGCTATGAATGACTGGTTGTTGGTCCTTTATATATCCAGACAGGTATAGGTAGATATAGTTTATAATAGACGTATATAACAATATATACATATCAGTGGGAATATACATGTCGGGAGGCACGTCCTATAATGATGTAGTCCTGATTTAGAATATATTATGAATACTCTGACGAACTGATGTTATTTGACGGGTTTCCTATACAGGGTTTAATTTACTCACCAATTTGTTTACAATAATAATCTTACACGATATATTATTGTGAGTGAAAATTATATCGTGCGAAGGATATGTATCGGACGAGGGTAGAGGGCGGGATTATTAGTGGCAGTGACAATCACGGCATATTTACTAAGGGAAGCGAGCTTCCATTGAGAGGGTTACTATCACACCTGTAGCTAGTAATAATTTAGTTTGACTTACCCTCAAAGGGGGAGTAGTGGTTAAGTAAGTTCATATAATACGTCATTATTTTGTTATCTGCCAGAGGCGTTATTTCGCATCTTGGTCTAATCGTGTTGGACTGTTTTGTCATCCGTAATAGATTGTGGATTTCGCATAACGCTGTTAGTAGACGCGATTTCCTTCAAACATCAAAATATTGGTGAGCATGTTCGTTATTTAGCCTAGTATAGCCAGCATAGCTACTCGCTGTTAAACAGGTGGTGACATCTGGTGATGAGGTTCGTAAGCGTGCACAAAATGACTGGCGTGTGGTACTACTATTCATCAGATACTCTATAAAGCTGACCAGTACTGAGAGGGCAGCGTAGCAATTTTAAATGAAAATTACGTTATGCCACATATAACGATAAACCTATAACGATATAACGATAGAGTTGATTCTGTTATAATCGAACTAAAACATATGTCAACACCAGAAAAATATGGCGCCGAAAATATCTTTCCATAGGCGGTTTAAGTTAGATGTTATTGTCGGAGCTCGTGTCGCACGACTGCACGAGACTCAACCCCGCTTGTATGTTGCCTACATGAATGAGTACCTTATATATCTGTGAAATCTATCTGACCTTTTTTGTATAGTTTTCTTGAATAAGCACACATCTTACGTTTATAAGGCGCGCGAGTTCACCTTATTGCTAATAAATTCCATTAAAATGAAGTGTCGATGAAGAACGGAACGAGGCAAGCAAGTCATAGCTCTAGTACTATAGACCTATCATGCCGTGTGTTACATACGTCATGCAAGGCGGTTTGTTTATACAGTAGAATCAGGAGTGGATAATAGAGAATTATTATCCATTATAGAGAATATTATCCACTCCTGGTAGAATGTTTACTAGAGCTGATCAGTGAAGACTGTCAATGGAACTTCAGCATAATACACCCCAGTGCAAGGATGGCGGCACTATTACCTAGTCTTCTGAATGTGTTAGATGATATTGTATAATCTGTATAGATAGGGTAGTATTAGGGAATACGAGACCCTTAAGCTCATTTGCATAATTTGCATAAATATGAATAAAGACGCACACTTGACAGGTTGTGTATTCTCTTCAGTAACTTCTACCTTTTATTTAAGTAACATACTTCTGTTGAATTGCGACGATGAAGACCTACACAAATATAATAGTCATAGAATAGACAACAAAGCAACTTGTCTCTCTGTTATTATATAACAAAAATCATTTTTTTAAATCGATCTACAGCTACATCGATAACATCTACTTATTTTGCATGCAATTCCGTGTGTTCATGTAATGTAATATATTTCTATTTTAATTAAGCCGAATAATGTCTGTGGGTGAGTTTAGGGGGTATACTGCCAGCTATGCGAATAATCTCACGACGAATAACAATAATTGCAGTTGAGATATAACAACACGTGTAGATTAGAGCGGCATACCGTACAGACAGCTGTCAGCTCCATGCTACAACCGGGAATGAGTGTGAAGACCTATATGCTTATTCTTGCAATTTGTCTCGATCGACCTTTTCACTCGAGTTCGCCTATATCCACAAAGGTCTTCCGGCAACGTGGCCCGCCTTGAAAATCAATTGGCTTTTATTAGTTTCAGTAGACCTTTTTACTACTTATAGATTGGGCCACAAAATCTACGTGACCCCCACTCTCCACGAACTGACGGTGAAGATTGATTTTTAGAATAATTTTAAACCCGATAACAGGATTTTACTTTCGGCAATAAACTGCTCATAGCAGCCGATGTAAAACCGGTGGGCACCATTTACAAGTTAACTGCTTAATCCTTGACGATGGCAGAGATTTCCTGATTGAATTAAAGCATATTCGGTGAAAGAGCGCAGATAAAAATTTGGTTTAGATGCGAAAACTACAGTTCATAGCAAAGTGTTTGCTCGAATCGTCCACTAATCAGCTCTCAGTCGTCACTAATACGAATCACAAGATAACATTCATATCTGCTGTTTGTTAAAGGATCGAAATTTTAAGACGGCCTGTTGATGGCTGTAATATAGCATAGTGTATAGTGTGCCATGCACGCTTATACCAAGGCTCTCGTAGTCAACATATCTAAACTTAATGATTAATCTTTACTTTTTTTAAATTTAGTTAAATCTTTTATGATTTTTCAGACGTTTGACGCTGCGCCAGAAGCATACACAAGTGCTCATTAAGAGTAGACGCTTTGTGTGTGTGGCACTAAGAGGTCACGATTAAAGGAGAAAAGCATACAAGCCACAGTGCATGCTCCCGCGGGAGTAACCACGCACAACATTTGTCCAACACCCGATAAATCCATCTGCGAGGATGCAGAAACCCAATAGGCGACAGGTTTGCGAGATGCTTTTAGCGAGTGTAGTGTTTTTCCTTTGCACGCGGATGCCGGTTGCTCAGGTAACCGGGGAGCCCACAGATGCAGCCACGGAGACTGTCTCAAACAGGCCCGATGTCCTGGCTTGCTGCGCGGCCAATGGTGTCTCGGCGTATTGCCAGCCGAAGATCTGCTCGTTGGACCTAGAGTACGACGATTTCGACAGGAATACAACCGCTTGTCTGACGCAGCATTTCGATGTGCTTATTACGTGTTTTGCTGATGGCAGGGATCACTCTAGTTGCTGCCGGTCGCGGGGTGTTGCTCACGAATGTGTCAAGTACTGTGATCTATCGCTGCTGGTACCCAAGGAGGAGTGCATAGTCGATGCCTCTAAAATCAAATTGTGTTTCGAGGAGAATTACGAGATTCTTCCTGGACCACCGATCAACATTGCCGCGAGTAACATCACTGGGTTCTCGGCCATGATATCCTGGGACAAGCCAGCAAAGCTGGGAGATAGCGTGACGTCATACAGTATCTCTTATAAGGATATTCTCTACAGTCCGAGTTTCCGTAACACAGCTGAACCGTTCGTCACCGTTCACAATGTCTCCTCACCACACGCACTTGCAGGGCTGGCTGGCGACTCTCTTCACAAGGTGTACATGATCGCTCGCAATGCACACGGCAGCAGCCTACCGTCCGATATCCTACAATTCCGCACGCAGGAGCTTCAGCCGTACGGCAACAACACGATTCCCTTAACCTCTCTCCTGCCGGCCGAGCCTTCGGGAGAAATCCCGCTCTTTCCGGACGATACCGGTGACGACGGCCCGCTACTGGTGGCTGCACCGCTGCACAACGTGACGGCTTGCTGCGTCGCCGAGAACATATCCTCGCAGTGTCTACACCTGTGCACCTACGACACGCTTGTAGCCGACGTGATGGCCGATTTTGAGATGTGTCGTAAAAACATTTCCTCGCTGCTGCGCTGTTGGGTCGACAACAGGAATCATCGTCCATGCTGCGAGCGACGCGGTCTGTCGCCAGTCTGCGCTAGAATGTGCGCCGGTACTAGACCTCGCAGAGGTTTCTCCGTGCGTCGTTGCGGCAACGTCAGTGAGGAAGTGTTACAGTGCTTCAAGGAGGGCCTTAACACGTTGCCTAAGCAACCGACGAACGTCCAACTTCAGCGAATCAACACGACCTGGCTGGAGCTGGCGTGGACCGCACCGATAGACAGTCCGGGAAACATCACACAGTATAATGTCTATCTCTACCATGCAAATTCCATTTCTAGCCTGATCGATCTACACACGAACAATTCTTTCGTCTTGACCGCGGTACCGCCAAACATTACCTCGTGTACACTGACCGGCTTGCAGCCCGGCCAGAAGTACTTCTTACAAGTGCAAAGCGTCAACGGATATGGCACCAGCATGCCGACGTACGTGCTCGAAGCTTGGACATTGCAATTAACTCGAGATCCTAATCGAGACCTTCTTCCTCAGAGACTGCATGTCACGAAGGCGGGCGTGGCGTATCTCACCATCTCGTGGCGTCCTCCGAAGAAAGACACCCCGGATTACATCGTCATAAATTATCGGAATATTACCGTCAAGTCGCCGCTCAATGGGTCCATAGACGCCAACTCAACTGACGATGACGATGACGTCCCTACTGGAGGCGATGTCATTAGCGTTGGAAGCTGGCGACAAATGAACGTATCCGCCGGCAAGACAGATGCCACCATCGAAGGACTCGTTGCCGATACGAAGTACGAAATCTACACTTCGTCTGTAATCGCTGGGAAAGTCATCGACGGCAAGCAGGCGCACATTTTTCCCCGAACTCTTGTAAAGGTTTCACCTTTTGCAGCCATCATCGTTCAGCCTGCAAACGGTGAGCGCATATGGACTATTGCGGGCATGGCTAAAACCATACGCGTTCCCGCCTAGTCGGCTGGGATAGGCCGGGCGAGTAGGCAGCTTTGCAGTGTAGATATAGATAATATATATATATATATAGTATATACGATATATATATAATATATATATATAGCGCAAGAGGGCGTGGCTAGATATTTACATGGTTTTGGAATCACGAAATAACAATAGACAGATACGTGGATAAACCATTATCGACTATACATTTTTTCCGCATTATGATAGTTTACGTTGATGCTTTTAATCCGTTCTTATTAATACCTACTTAATTTTGATATCGATGAATTACATGTCGCGTTGTGTCATTTTGTGTGGATGCAGTGCAATGCTCACTAAAACTAGAAGCTAGCTGTGTACGATATCTCTACGCAGAAATCTCCTAATTGCACAAATTTGTAGGTCTTGTAACTCGCATACATTCTATAAGATGCGCTATTCTTCAGACTCGTCCCGCTCTATTCACCGTATATTTACATCGTAACCATATTGTTTAAAGAAACGTTTTCATCGCAATTAGGGATATTTATCGATAAATCATATGGTCAATGAGGACTTTCAAACTTTATTATTATTATTATACAGTTTAAATACCGTTATAAAATAATCGTCTACCGCATTAAACTTGACTTTACTATTACACGCGCACTCAAATGCAATCATCGACACGAGACGTTACTGCGGAAGCGTTCTTTGGATGAAGTTATCATGGCTCAGGTTATCATGGATCATTGCTCTTGTGACTGTTACTGTTAGCGTGGTACAAAAGGCACGCATTGTTTGGCAGCTGGCATTTCCGTGCTTGTCAGGTGCTTCGTACAGCCGGTCACCGCAGTTGAAGTTTGTCACGGGATGTGAACGTACATGCACCTGTTTTTCAATTTTCCAGGCGGTTGAAGCAATGAAAGAATGAGATAGATAGTTTTCAACCGCAATTAATCGGTAAAGAGATATATTTACAGTGTAGGAGCAGAAAGGCGAAGAGGAAACTCCAAGGAATGCCATACTGTGCCTCAAACATGATTTTCTAAAAGTAAAGCTACACATCTGTAAGGATGCCAAAATCCAGACAGCGAACCGGTTGCCATGTGCTTTTAGCGAGTGTAGTGTTTTTCCTTAGCGCGCGGCA